CAACTGGGCCAGCGAGGGGATTCCAGTCCCCAAAGGAGGAGGTGGTGAGAGACGGAGAGGGAGGGCATATCTGAGGCCCCTAGGCAGGATGAGTTCAGGGCTGGGCCCCACAGCCTGCTCATCCATCCTGAATCTGGCCTCCCGGACTTGGCGTTCCCGCCCTCCATCCCCACCAGGCTGTATCTTCTTTCCCCCTCCCCTGGCTTCTCACTGCTCTCCTTGCCCCAGCTTCTCCATAAAGAAACGTGGCTGTGAGGGGCGCCAGGCTTTGAAGCCAGGTCACCTCCACTTCCTCTAGTGCTGGTATAACTAACCCCTTCCTCTATCCTTCCTTCCTTTGTCCCCCTCCCCCACATTTATCCCACAACTTCCTTTATTCTGTCATGCCATGCCTAAGGGGCCCCTAGGAGGGGGCCAGGGGCAACTGGGAGTTTTTAGTTTGGAGAACAGGAGGGAATGAGAACGTTGTTGCGTCCACACATTCACTTGAGCATGCATTTACACATGCATTTACTTCTTTTCACTCACACATACATTCCTTCATTCTTTTGCAGTTACTCATTCATTCATTTTCTGGACACTTACTGAGCCTCTACTATGTTCAAGGCCCTGAGTGTTCAGGCGGAGGGGCCAGGATACTCTGATGGGTCAGTCCCATCCCTGATGCTGGCTAGCTCAAGGTCAAAAAGGGGGAATTACCACAAATCAGTCCAATTTAAGAGAAAATGCTCCGAGAAAGGGCTGTGAAGTGTGTGTGTGTTGTGTGTGTGTGTCTGTGTGTGTGCACAGGCGTTGGGGCACATAGCGGGAGAATGTAATTCCACTTGGGAGGGGCCAAGAAGGCTTCCTGTAGGCAGTGGCATTTGAGCTGGCCTTGATGGTGGGCAGGGTTTAGATGTAGACTTATTAAATGGGCATCGGGGTGGAGGGAACAGAAGAAACAAAGGACACTCCAGGGGTGTGAGGGAGCAGTGGGCACTTCTATTAATGGCATTAGGGGATCAGAAGAAAGAAGTCTGGACAGGGAGGCCAGGGCTGAGTGGAGGACAGGAGAGAGGAGCAGCCTTGTTCTGAGCAGCCCAGAGCCACAGTCATGGCAAGACCCTTCTGGCCCTTGTGTGTGTGTGGAGCTGTAGGTTCTGGTAGGAGCTGCAGGAGTTCGGCTAGGACAGTACTGTAAGTGGAAGTTGGTGTAGATGGTGTCAGAGGTCCCTCCTCCCCAGAGAGTCTGTGGTCCTGTCTGGGAAGGCCAAAGACCCAGGAGAGGGAATTCCTGGGAGTTTGGTTATTTATTCACTCATTCATTTCCTCTTTTGCCCTTAAACCCACTCATTCATTCATTTATTCTTCACTTAGTCACTTAAACCCTTCCTCTGGGCAGGCCTTGTGCTGGAGACTCAGATGACTCAGAAGAGGTCCCTGCTCATGTGAGCTCCCAGTCTGGTGGGAGAGACAGACCCGTGCCTGACAGCGACAACCCAGAATCACTGTGGAATATAAGTGGAGATAATTTCTTTGTGTTTTGTCACTGAGTGGGGAGGCAGAGTTAAGACATGGACCAGAAGAATTAATGCAGATGTTTGGCCTCCAGCCAGAAAGGCCTGATCCGTGGGGCCAGGTGAAGAAGGTTGTAGTCTGGGAAAAGGAGTGTTTGAAAGAGAAAATCCTCTGGGTTCACAGGTGTGAAGAGGCAGGCTTTCTCTGGATGTGAGACTCCCCAGAGGCCCACTCAGGGACTGGGCCTTTGGGCTGAGGGCACCACAAGCTCCCCTCACACTAGAGATGAGCCTGCGGGATTTGGGAGCCCCTAGAGAATTTTTTGGCTGGTCAGCATAAGCTGTAAGCAGGTTGAGGAGGGTGGTGGTAAATTTGTGGGCTTTGGACTTAGGTCAGGGTTCAAGTCCCGATGTTCCCTACCCATTGATGTGACTTTGGACAAATGACTTAATACTCTTTGCCTCCATTTTTTCCTCTACAGGAAAATAATAATCATAGTATCTTCCTTTTAGGGTGAGGCCTAGAGGCAATAACATACACGATGTGCTTGCACAGTGCTGAGCATTGAAAAGGGCTGTAATGACAGGGTTATAATGACAGTGACTATGATGATGACAGTGACATACCATCAAGTGCTGCCTTTAAAATCTCTGGGCCTTGGCTGGGCATAGTGGCTCATGCCTGTAATCCCAGCACTTTGGGAGGCCGAGGTGGGCAAATCACTGAGGTCAGGAGTTCGAGAACAGCCTGGCCAACATGGTGAAATCCGATCTCTGCTAAAAAATATTAAAAAACAAAATTAGCCAGGCCTGGTGGCACGTGCCTGCAACCCCAGCTACTCAGGAGCCTGAGGCAGGAGGATCGCTTGAACCCAGGAGGTGGAGGTTGCAGTGAGCTGAGATTGTGCCACTGCACTCCAGCCTGGGTGACAGAGTGAGACTCTGTCAAAAAAAGAAAAGGAAAGAAAAAAAAATCTCTGGGCCTCATTGTCCCCGTGTGTAAAATGGGAGGGCTGACCTAGCTCGCCAGTTCTCCAAGCGCGGTCCCTGGATCAGTGGCATTGGCATCCTTTGGGATCTTGTTAGAAACACAAATTCTTGGGTGCTACTTCAGTTCTACGGAATCAAAAACTGTGGGGACAGGGCCTAGCAATCTGTATTTTAACAAGCCCTCCAGGTGATTCTGGTGCAGGCTGGAGTTTGAGAACCACAGACCTCTTCTTGATCCACTGTTCCGGACTGTGATCCAACCATGTGTGTTTCATGCCTCTTGCACAGAGTGTCCGAGTCTGCAGTGTGGAGGCAAGGGGCACAGAGATGGGTAAGATGTGGTCCAAGCCCTTGGGAGGAGACTGGAGGAGTTGGAAAGGAGTGAATATACCCATGGGAACATTCACTGGAGTAACAGACTGCACAGAGCTGTTGCGGTGACACAGGAGTGAGCTCTGTAATAGACAGCGGAGAGAGAAGAGGGACCTTCGTGGGCTGCAGGGGGCCCTGTTGAAAGATCTAGCTCTCTGCTGCTTGTTCCTGACACTAAGATTGATTCAGCCTTTCTGGAAGTCCTCTTGTTAGTCTAACGGAAGCCTCTCTCATTTCATACCTTGCTGTGTGGGGGGCGGACAGGGCTCTGGACTTGAGTTCAGGAGTGTGATTCTAGCCAACTTCCTCACTGTGTGTCTTTGGGAGGCTCACTTTCCTCCGGACCTCAGTTTAGCCATAAGTAAGATGTAGGGGTGAGCCAAATCCAGTGAGTGTGAGGCATTGCAGTTGTCTGGAGAGAGGGTAGGCTTGGGGGCCAGGAGCTCTCTGGGTTTTCGTTCCTCCTTCTGCAGAGGGAGGATTCTGAAATTGCCCTGGCTGCCTGTCAAGCTATCTTGGGGACCCAGTAAGATGAACTGTCCCCTCTTTGGGCTGGTTTCCTTACCATCCAGGGAAGTCTCATGATACCTGTCCAGTCTACCTCACATGGCTTTCCTCATGTCGAGTGTACTCATCATTCCGTCATTCTCAGAGGCTCCTTGATGCCTAAACCCCAACGTCTGGCATTCGAACCCTCCATGACAGGTTCCCAGCTTTCCTGCAAGGCGATGCTCCTCACAGCCTGTGACTGCCTCCTGTTCTGTGCCTGTCAGGCCTTCCACCTCACCCCTCTTCTTAGCCTATCCAAGCCCATTCAGTCTTCAGGCCAGGTCTAGCACTACATCCTCCAGGAAGCCTCCAGGATTGCCCCAATCCTCAGGGCCATCCATGGGCCATCTTGCAGTCTTTTAAGGTGTGACTTTAATTTCTCATTTGTAGACACGGAATGGCTGACCACTGACAAGCTGTTTGAGGGCAAGGCCTGAGCTCATGGGGATGAACATTATTAAAGTCCTTGACTTATGGAGCAGGGAGGCCCAGAGAAAGGAGGGAACTTGCTCAGAGTCACGTGGTACATTAGTGAAAGAAGGAGAACCCAGGCCTCTTAGGCAAGACAGGCCCGGAGGAGGCATGATTAGATCTGTGGTGAATGAGCGAGAGGCCCTGAGGATGGAAGGAAGGCTGTGGCCTCGGAATCCAGCTGGGCTGTCTCAGCTGGGCTGTGCACTCACTGGCTGTGCCACCTGGGGCATGTTACCTACCCTTCCTAAGGAATCTTGCCAGTGGGGTTGGAGGAGGACCAGTCCAAGGCCTGGCACACGGCAGGTGCTTGGTTATTACGGGGTGCATGCTATTACTTTCCATGTACTTGTCCATCCCAGCCCCCATGCCTGAATCCTTTCCCTGCCCCCCTCCCCACCCCTCACTTCCCTTAGCCACCAAGCACTCATTGTCCTGTCCTTAGTCCAACGTGAGTGTCAGGACCTCCTGATCAAGCCTGTGGGCAGAAGTCAGAGAGAGAAGGGAAAACGCTGGTGGTCTCTCAGTTGGTGGTGGCTACAGAGAAACTGGAGTGGGTGTCCCAAGGGGCTGAAGCCTGCATGGCCGCTGGGGTGGAATTTGGCAGGTGCCACTTTTAGAAAAGTCACACTGCCTATTTAAAGGAAGTGAGGGGTGTGTCCTGTCCCCAAACAGCAACTGCTGGATGCCTGCGGCCTGGAGCTGAGAAGCTGGTGGGCAGCGCTCCCAGGGTGAAGAATCCTAGCAGGTGGGTCTGGTATCTCTCCGGGAGGTTGCTGGCAGCTCCCTGGCCTCCTGCCACCTTCCAGCCTGACCCCTTGTGGATGGATGGAAGCCTCATGGCTGTTTTGCCTATCTGCTGGCTGGGATGAGGGACCTGGACCCCCCCGCCAGCCCCCTTCCCCGGGAGTGATCACAGAGCCAAGAGACACTGTTGGCAGGATGATGGGCTTTGGGATTGGGGGTGCCTGGAGTTTGACTGGGGCTGGGTGCCCAGTGGGCGGGCACAGGCTCCTTGACGTGTCTGTGGCCTAGCTGGCAGCCCCGTCCTTCTTCTCCGCTAGGCGGGCACTGGAGCTTTCTGTGCAGGGCTCCTAGGAGAAGGGGGGCTGAGGGCAGTCTGAAGAGAGGCGGGACGCGGGGTGATAACAGCTGGCTCTGGTGGGCGGGCAGGAGCTGGGGAGGAGGAGCAGGAGAGGCCCACAGGCTTCATTTGGAGCGGGGCCTGGCTGTTGCTCAGGTGACCAGCTTTTGTCTCTGGGAGGGTGCTGCTTTCCCCGGCCACCCGGCGCGATGATCCAGAATGTCGGAAATCACCTGCGACGGGTATGGAGGGTGGGCTGGGGCAGCGGGTGGGCTCTGGAGGCTGGGCACCCAGAAAGAGATTGACGTTTCCATTTTAACTCATACGCTCTGCATCTCCTCACACTCTCCACGGGCCATTTTCTAGCTCTTTTGGAAGGAGAAATCGCAGAGCCCCTGGGCTGGTTTATTATCAGCAGCAGTCTCCAAACAGGCCCCAGGGGCTGTCAGATCCCCTACGGGCTGGCTGTCTCAGTGGAATCACCTTCAGCAAGTGTTGGCCTCTGGAATTCTATTTGGTGGGCGTATGTTTCTCCCTGCAGAGTTCTGTACATGTTTCTGGGGAACATCTGAGCTCCATGGCCTTGCGGTGCTTCATGCTCAGAGCTCAGGACCCCCAAAGCTACAGAGCTGGTGGGAGAGACAGGGTGTGAGGTATGTGTGGGAGTGAGTATGTGTGGTGGGGTGAGGTGGGCGTTCTCGGGGAGTGGAACCTCTTTGGGAGAGCAAGCACAGGATCACATGAGGGCTGCGGAAAGCTGTCCTGCAAAGTGACCTTGAAGAGAACTTTTCTCTGCACTTTGGAGCTGAGATTAGGTGCGGAGGCACACGGCAGACCTAAGTGCCCAGCAGCGCCTGGCAGTGGATGGAGTGTATGGAGATGGGCTCAGGACAGACTGCCAGAGGTTGTAATGGGTGTAGTGTGGCTGACCTCTGAGGATATTTCCAGGAAAAGCCTTTTTATTTATTTATTTATTTATTTTTTTGAGACGGAGTCTCGCTCTGTTGCCCAGGCTGGAGCGCAGTGGCCAGATCTCAGCTCACTGCAAGCTCCACCCCCGGGTTCACGCCATTCTCCTGGCTCAGCCTCCCGAGTAGCTGGGACTACAGGCGCCCGCCACCTCGCCCGGCTAGTTTTTTGTATTTTTTTAGTAGAGACGGGGTTTCACCGTGTTAGCCAGGATGGTCTCGATCTCCTGACCTCGTGATCCGCCTGTCTCGGCCTCCCAAAGTGCTGGGATTACAGGCTTGAGCCACCGCGCCCGGCCGAAAAGCCTTTTTTTTAAAGGGGCTGGAACAAATAAATGTCTTATCCGTCCCCTCCCTCCATCTGCACAGCCACTGCAGAACTCAGCATCCGCACCGGACCCTGTGCATCTTGTCTCCCCTGGCTGCCCCATCCCATGTCAGCCCCTTTCAGTCCACTCTCCACACTGGAGGGATGCTTCTAAAAGGTAAATGTGCTGACTCCTCACCTGCTCAGACAGCTACCTGAGGATGATTTTCACATTCCTTACTTGAGACAAAGGGATATTGGCACTCTGGCCCCTGCCCACACCTCCATTTTCCTTCCACCATCCCTACCCCTCTGTTGTCTCTGCCTCAGCCATATCAAGCTGCTCTCCGTGGCCTCGGTGTCCCACCTTTGTTCTCTCCTCCGGGATGTTGTACTTGCTGTGTCTTCTGCTGGAGCTACCCCCAGCCTTCCTGCATCTCCCCAAACTTGTCTCCCTGGCAAGTTCCTTCTGAGTCCTCAGATCTCAGCTCAGGTGCTGCCTCCTCTGGAAGTCCTTCCCAGATTTCTCATGGCACCACGAGCCTCTGCGTTAACTCGTTTTCACACTGGATTGTGTGCTAGACTGGCACATACATTCCTCCCACCAGCCAGGGAGCAACACAAGGCTGCTCTTGGTGTACCCAGCACAGGGATGGGTGTGGCCAGAGGCCAGGGAATGCTTAATGAATGAATGGGGACAGGCAGCTTTTCAGCAGTGAGGCCAAGGGTGGGATCTGAGTAGCAGGGCCGCTTGCTCTTGTCATCTGAGTGCAGGGCAGAGTGTCTCCCAGGTGGGAGGGGCTGCTCGTATCTTCTCCTATGCCTTGTTGTATTTAACCCTTTATGACTTTTTCCTTCATCAGTAAATGGGGGCAAGGCGCTGGGGAAGAGACATATCATTATCACTGTTTTACAGAGATAACAATGGTAACCAATCTTCACATAGCTTTTTTGCATATATGAACTCATTCAGTTCTCTATGAGGTAGGTGCAGTTATCATCCCTGTATCCCAGATAAGGAATCTCACAGAGGGTAAGTGACTTGCTCAAGATCACACTGGTAGGAAGTGGCAGAGCTAGGATCTGAACCCAGCAGTTTGGCCCCAGAGTCTGAGCTCTTAAGGAATCTGAGGCTCAGCCAGAGGAAGGCGCAAATGTGGGATTCCAACCCACATGTCCCGACTCTGAGCCCAGCTGGCATTCAGCTTCCTTGCACTGCCTCTATTGAAGGGGGTGGAGGTGGGTGTTGGGGGTGGAAGTTGGGCTCTTGAGGACACAGGTGGCCTCCTGTCAGCTAAGAACACTCTGGCCTTGATTGCCACCTCTGCACCACTGCCTGGATGGTGGATCTCTTTGGATTTCTCTCGAATTCCCTTAGTTCCTCTGGAATACAAGAGGGTTTAGGAACATTTTCTGGCTTGGTGCCAAAGCTGTTTTTAATGAAAAGCAAACAAGCAAACAAATAAACAATCCCTGGCCAGGCATGGTGGCTCACACCTGTCATCCTAGCACTTTGGGAGGCTGAGGCAGGTGAATTGCTTGAGCTCAGGAGTTTGAGACCAGCCTGGCCAACATGGTGAAATCCCATCTCTACCAAAAATACAAAAAAAAAAAAAAAAAAAAAAAAAAAAAAGCTGGGCATGGTGGCATGTACCTGTGGACCCAGCTACTCGGGAGGCTGAGGTGGGAGGATCACTTGAGCCTGCCTGGGAGGTGAAGGCTGCAGTGAACCAAGACCATGCTACTGTACTCTAGCCTGGATGACAGAGTGAGATCCTGTCTCAAAACAAAAACAAAAACAAACAAAAAGCCCCACCAAGCCGGGCGTGGTGACTCATGCCTGTAATCTCAGCACTTTGGGAGGCCGAGACGGGTGGATCACTTGAGGCCAGGAATTTGAGACCAGCCTGGCCAACATGGTGAAACCCTGTCTCTACCAAAAATACAAAAATTAGCTGGGCATGGTGGCGCGCTCCTATAGTCCCAGCTACTCGTGACACTGAGGCAGGAGAATCGCTTGAACCCAGGAGGCAGAGGTTGCAGTGAACCGAGTTCGCACCACTGCACTCCAGCCTGGGCAACAGAGTGGTCTCAAAACAACAACAACAATAACAACAACAAACTCACCAAACTGTCTTTAATAGGGACTAAACTGGAAACAGAAGAGGGGGTGTCAGATAATCCACAAACTCCACTTTGCATGGTTGGGGGCCATTTTCAGTGTCCTATGGCACTGTAGACAAAGTCAGCATTGGAGTTCGAGGGCTCTGGTCCCTACTCGTCCCTGGGTACCCAGCAAGTGAGTGGGTGACTGAATGAAGTGGCCAGCCTGCTGCCATGCTCGGGGCTGGGAGAACTGCTGAGTGCCAGTGTGGTGGTGCCAGAAAGGTCTCCCTGTCCTGCTTCAATCCTTGCCTCTCCACGTGGAGAACTCTTCTCCTTTCCCTATCCAAGACGTCAGTCTACACTGGGCACTGAGTCTCACATTTCTGGGCTAGCAGGGACGCACTGGTGCCCTTGTAGGAGGTGGGCAGGGGTCCTGGGAGGTCTGGGAGCCTCTGCCCAGCCTCAGGTCTAGCCTGGCCCAGGTCAGCTCTCAGTGGGGTTCAGAAGCTTTTTTCACTCCAGAAATGGTGATGGGGCTGGTTGTTTTTGTTTTTGGTTTAAGACGGAGTCTCACTCTGTCACCCAGGCTGGAGTGTGGTGGTGCAATCTTGGCTCACTGCAGCCTCCGCCTCCCAGATTCAAGGGATTCTCCTGCCTAGCCTCCCGAGTAGCCTCCCGAGTAGCTGGGATTACAGGTGCCCACCACTATGCCTGGCTAATTTTTGTATTAACCTCCAACCGCACAATGCAATCCTACTGCTTTACCTTGAACCTGAGGACAGCTGGAGAGCTTGCCACAACCTCCTCAGCTTCATAAGGGGTCTAACTCAGAGTGTGGGGAGGTTCAGGGCACAATGATTGGATGTTCACCCCACTGCTCACTGTGTGACCTTTGGCCAGGGGTTCCTCTCTCTAGTCCTTAGGGTGCTGGGTGATCCCTGAGGTCCTCGCCAGCCTGGACATCCTGGGGCTGTGAAATGTTTGTGAAGGGTTTGTCTGCCACCATGAGGTTGATCCTGACAGTGAGAGGCAGGGTCCCGTCTCTCCTGAGGACCCTACTCTGTGTTGGAGATGGGGAGACCTTAGACATAAAATGATGGACCTATCATATACAAGGAGTCCCAAAACTGCTGAATGAATGAGTGACCACGGGTGCTCAGAAGCAGATTGAGTTGGTCCCAGAAGGCTTCCTGGAGGAAGAGGTGAGACTTGAACGTGTAGCATCAGCCTGTTCAGGAGCCATATGTGAACCCCAGGCTCAGCTATGGGCAGACACTCTTAGTGTTTTTTTTTTTTATTTGGAGACAGAGTCTCACTCTGTCGCCCAGGCTGGAGGGCTGAAGTACAGTGGTGCCATCTCAGCTAACTGCAACCTCCGCCTCCCTGGTTCAAGCGATTCTCATGCCTCAGCCTCCTGAGTAGCTGGGACTACGGTGGGTGCCATCACACCTGGCTAATTTTTTGTGTTTTTAGTAGAGATGGGGTTTCACCATGTTGGCCAGGCTGGTCTCGAACTCCTGACCTCAGGTGATCCGCCCACCTTGGCCTCCCAAAGTGCTGGGATTACAGGTGTGAGCCACCATGCCCGGCCCACTTTTAGTGTTCTTAATTTATTTAGAGGACTCTTTTTTTTTTTTCTCTCCAAAATGTTATTTTAATATGCATAGCATAAGCGAATGATTACCTTATTAAAAAAAAAAATTAAAATGGGCCAGGCATGGTGGCTCATGCCTATAATCCCAACACTTTGGGAGGCCGAGGCGGGTGGATTACTTGAGGTCAGGAGTTTGAGACCAGCCTGACCAACATGGAGAAACTCCATCTCTATTAAAAATACAAAAATAAGCAGGATATGCTCAGT